GAATAGAATAGAATAGAATAACAGAGTTGGAAGGGATCTCAGAGGTCTTCTAGTCCAACCCCTTGCTCAGTTGGGACTACTAATGATGACTAACCTTTTTGTTGTCGCTTGCCGAAAGCACATGCATGCCCAACACCCATAATGCAATGAGTGGGCGACACCTCCCCCCCACGCGCCTTGCCCTCCCTGCTTTTTTTCAAAAGGCAACTGTACTTTCTGTTTTTTTTTTCTTTGAAGAGCTTTCGCTTCTCATCCAAGAAGCTTCTTCAGCTCTGACTGGATTCTCCTTCCATTCCACACCACTCAGTCAGAGCTGAAGAAGCTTCTTGGATGAGAAGCGAAAGCTCTTCAAAGAAAAAAAAAACAGAAAGTCCAGTTGCCTTTTGAAAAAAAGCAGGGTGGCAGGGCGGTGTGTGTGTGTGTGTGTCACCCACTCATTGCATTATGGGTGTTGGGCATGCATGTGCTTTCGGCAAGCGACAACAAAAAGGTTAGTCATCATTAGTAGTCCCAACTGAGCAAGGGGTTGGACTAGAAGACCTCTGAGATCCCTTCCAACTCTGTTATTCTATTCTATTCTATTTTCCATTCCTTGTCTGCACAAATATTCTTCTTTTGATCCCAGAAAAAAAAATCCTTTTTCAGAAAGATTCTGCAGGCCTGCTGCAATTATTCTGGTAGTTTTTTTAAACACCTGTCTGAACATGTGATTATTGGCACCGCTGTTCCTGGAAACATTATCTAACCCAGACAATGAAAAAAAAATGTTGTCCCTTTGCCAGGAACGTGGCTACCTACATCAGGAGGAAGCCGATTACACAGTGCCTCCCGATTGTCCGTGGGATTAATTTATTAAGCTTCTAGTCCTGATGATGAAGACATTTGCAATTCTGGGTGTTGTGGTCAGACATATCTAGAATCCACTGACGAGGGAAGACTTTTTAAGTTTAAAAAAAGTCAGATTCTTCACTGTTCTATCCGGGCAATATGAAATTTGAACTTTTCTACTTTATTCCACTCATTTCCATCTTTTATTTTGTTTTTGTTTTTCCCATTGTGTTTTTTTTTCCCCATTGTGTTTTATTAGACTTACATCAGCCATTTGAAAAGTGTGGTTTTTACTCCGTGATATTAAGTTGTAGACCTGCCTCACTTTCCCTTATGAAATGTTCGGCAAATCTCTCTGGGCCTTTTTAAAGCTTCATTTTTATTTTATTTTCTTTGGAGTAATGCTCCCAGTATCCTAGCAACCTCCAAATAACCTGTGGGTAAAGCAAACAGTGGCAAGAAAATGTACAATTTGGCTTCAGGCGGCAAGAAGCAAGTTAATGGCCCATAACTATTTCTAAATAATATTTTGAGCGCGCTGAAATGCCAGAGTAGACATTTATGGAAGAATGAATGAGTACCCATTTTGTGCTAATACAGGGGTTTTTTCAGTGACACACAAGTTAGTCAAAAACAAAACAGCTAAGAGGTTTTGTGAATGGGCTTAAATGCGGCTAATTTTATCAATTTCTCCAAGCAACTTTGAAACTTGGTGTGGTGGCTTTTGGTTTGTGTGTGTGTGTTGCATTTTGAGTTGAGTGCTTTTCTCTGTTTTCTATGGCCGCTATTACAATTAAAGTATTGAGCTGTGTGTTTGGCTTGTGTAATTTGATGAAAATTGCCTGTGTTTCTCCACCATCCCCTTGGTGAATGGAGAGATTTATTTTGCAATCAGCTGTGTTAAGGAAATCGATTGGATCTGTTTGGATGAAGCTGGAGAAACAGCAGCTTTGAGAGAGCAACTAAGAAGGATATTTAGAAGACACCCCAAAGATTGGGGCTGTGAGCTTCCTTGTAGAAGACGTTTCATTTCATTTCATTTATTAAATTTATAGGCCGCCCAATCCAGGAGGACTCCGGGCGGCTCACAATGAAAGAAGAAAAAAGAAAAACAAAATAAGTAAAAAAATAGTTTAAAATTCACAACACGCATACGTTCTAATCGGGGCTGGACCTTAACACTAAGGTCAACAGCTCCAGGCCTGCCGGAACAGCCAGGTTTTAACGGCTTTTCTGAAGGCCATGAGAGGGGGTAAGGTCCGGACCTCTGGGAGTAGCTAGATTCCACAGGGTCGGAGCAGCCACAGAGAAGGCTCTCCTCCGGGAGAGACGTTGCAAAGCCAGGCTGCCAAAACAGAGGTAGTGTAGTAAATCTTTAATGAGGAAGGATCAGAGGGAAGGGAAGAAGAGGGAGGAAGGAAGGGAAGAAAAAAGGCAGAGAAGGAGGAGGGAGGGAAGGAAGGAAGGAAAAAGCAGAGAATGGAGAAGAAGGGAGGGAGGATTAGAAGGAAGGCAGGAAAGGGAAGGGAATAAGGGAGGGAGGAAGAGAGGAAAGAAAAAAGACGGCGGAGGGAAGGAAGGAAGGAAAAAGCAGAGAATGGAGAAGAAGGGAGGGAGGATTAGAAGGAAGGCAGGAAAGGGAAGGGAATAAGGGAGGGAGGAAGAGAGGAAAGAAAAAAGACGGCGGAGGGAAGGAAGGAAGGAAAAAGGCAGAGAAGGGGG